CCCCCCGCCACATGTAAAATTGCAGTTTGCCTGATAAAATGCACTGCTTCATTTAGGATGCAGTACAAGGCTTTATCAGGATGGAGAACAGAGTCACCTAAGCAGAACCGAGGCAGGGCTGGGAAACTGCAGAATTTGGGCCCATGTCACATCTAGGAAGACTGAAGGTCGTGGTAAGCTCATGCACTGATAGAATTTGAGCTTCCTTAGGTTTACTGAAAATTTTGATCTAACACAGCACAACTTGCAGCTTCACCTTAAGGTACCTTTTGAGATTCAGAACTAAGTATAGTGTATACATATATTTCTGTCTTCCTGTTGTTAACTTTTTTATTAAGTCTTCATAGTCCTCCTTTACAGTTATTGGATTATCTCTCCTCATGAGTAACCTCACATCTTTCAGACTGTGGAACAAGAAGGTGACAAGCTGAGGGCCATGTAATTCAGAAGTGCATGATTATTCTGGGGCAGCAAGAAACCTGATCTTAAGTAGTAATAGGATGGAAGGTCCTGCTCTGGTTTGAAAGAAGTTTCATAAATTTTACTTTGGGTTGGACACGGATATTCCAGTGAAGTATAAAAATAAGCTATTAAAACTTTGTGGGATGTATTCTGAATTTATTACAAGTCTTACTTGAAGGCTGGAGCATAGCTGTGCTGCTGCAAAAACACATTTTTCTTTCCTTCTTGTTCCAGTGAAGGATTAATCTGCTGATGTCCTATAGTTTTTCTCCAACCTGTGTAGGCAAATGCATGGGAGAAGTTAATGTTCTGACTATTTCAACCATTCCTGCCTGAACTTTGTCACTCTGCCTATTTATGTACATAGAAAGAAGAAAAAAACCTGTTAATTTGCCCTTAATGTGATATATAGAAAGCCATGGAAATCTTCTTCCTGAGGCTGAACTAAGGATCACAACCTACATCTTCTTGAGAGAGCATCAACTGACACACTAATTAAACCCTAGTAAGTCTCATATTGGAAAACTATTATGTACCATGTGGTCCTTTAGAAAAAATTAAAAATTTGATTTTGAGAGATACAGTAGAGCCAAAGTTGTTCATAATTTCACAGGTAGTTGAATATACTCCTCTCAGTTACAGGTTCTTAGTACCATTTAGTTAGTAACTTTAAAATAAAACATTGGATTAAAAAGTGTATTAATCCCCATTCCCAACAAATGTTGGTTGCTCCCAGCAAATCTTAGTAGCAAAAGCTATTTCCAGTGTATTCCAGCTTTAGATAGAGGTGGAGATGAACCACATTATCAAGACAAATTTGGAACACTGTCTTGTTTTGTACTAGTGTAAGGTGTGATTGAACAGCGTATCCCGAAAATCCTTTAGACAGTATATTTCCCAGTGGTACATTGGAAGCTGAGGTTTCATTTATTCAGCCGGATCACAAATAATTTAAATTCTCTAATGTGTCTAAATTCTCTAAATACATGGGACCTTTCTGAACCTTTTTTTTAGACTATCATATCCAGTTTTAAGATAAAAAGTAGTGGAACTGAGTGTGTGACATTTGTAAGTGCCTCATAGTTTTAATTAAGCTTCTGTGGACTACATTTTAATTTCTTCTTTTCATGCCATTCTCTTGTACTTTGACTTTTTTCAGGGATAAAAATCATTCTATTGAATGATAGTCTCAGTACTTGTGTTACAATGGGTGGGCTACCAGTGACACCAAAATACTACTATTCTCCTGGTAAAAGATTTTCTGTGTAATACAAAGTACTAATTTAAAATAATGTTTTTTCAGTTTTCTATTTTGAACTTTGATGACCTATTCAAAAATTGCCTCCACAGCCTTGGAGTTGTAGTCCACTAACACCACAACAATACAGACTCCTAAATTTTAATGATAAAAAACTTGATAAAAATTTGAAAACATCAAGTAATACTACTTTTTCTTTCAAGTATCCCAGAACAGTCATGCCAAATATACACAAATGCTCAGAAGTAGCATATAAGAAAATTTGTCAGAGTTTATCACAATGAAAATACATATGTTTGATTCGTCATGTAGAGGTGATAAGCAGTAGTTTTCCTCAGGATGCAAGTAGTAATATATAAAATCTACTGCGCAGTTGAAATGTGGTTTATTAAATCCAGGCAGTAAAGGAGTGATGTGTTGGCTGCCCTTTGTTCTGTAGACATTCCCAAATAGTTAGATCAGGCCTTTATAGTGTACAATTCTTTCCACAGAAATTTGAAACCCATCAAAACATTTGCATTTCTTCAAGTAAAAGATGAACCACCACTTTAGGGTCACTTCATTTATTTGTCTTAATATTTTTTTGTTCAGTTTAGGAGAGACTGTCATAAATAATGGCGAACCTTGTTCACCTAAGGTAAGATTTTGTATTACTTTGTTTAGATAAGATAAAGAATGTAACTGAATGATTTCTCAGAAAAGTGACATCTTTTAAAAATATGGATTCTCTTATTCAAGGTAGATATAAAAATAGAGAAAAATGAGATATTTCAAGATAGACAAAAGAAAATATATTGAAATTGTAGGAATTCAGCATATTAGAACATTTTTGTGTTAATATCACAGCTCAGTTGTTATGTCATAATTTTAATCTCATCTGCGTGACTTTAAATGCAGAGTTACTGTTGTTTTTGGCAGAGCCAGTTTTTGCTTGAATTGCTGAGATCAGACTTAATTGCTTCTTTCATGTTGGCTTTTGTTAAAGATAAATATTGATTAAAAATATTTGCTTAACAGTGTTTAATTGCACACCTGGTGAGTATCTGTGATAGCCCTGGAACAAGTCATACTTTCAACTGTTCTATTTATAAGTTTCTAGAGATCTGTTTATAACTCTTACATAATTTTTCTTTCTTTATTTTGTGCTTTTTTCAATATTAAAGAAACATATTTTTTTACCTCTCTACCATTCTCCAGGCACAAAATGCAATTATACTAGTAATTCAGAAAACTGTTTTTGCAAAATTCCTTTGTTAACAGATTTTTGTAGTTTTTACTTTCACTTTTTAAGAGCAAAAATCAGGAGAAAAAACCCTGTTCAGTGCTTGCTGGTATAGTGCCAATTTCAGAATCAGAAAAATGAAGCAGGAAAGAACAACTATGTTGAAGATGTATTCAAGTCTAAATAAGTTTTGTTTTTCATTAAAATCTTGACGTTTCTTAGGATCCTATTTACATTTGAAAACACAATATATGAACATACTACAAATGATTTGCTGAGATTATGAAATTATCAAACAAAGACTCATACAAAAACATGTTACTTAATCTTTTGACAATGACACATATTTTGGGAATCACTTTTAGTAATTATTTTAAGTGATTATTCAGAGACATTCCCTTATTTTATGTCATGTGGCACCATGGAAGAAAAACTATTAAATATGAGAATATAATTTTAAAATAACAGTAATAGGTGTAACTACTTTTACTAATGCTATTATTGTTACTATTTCAGATAATTATGTGCCCAGGATTACTGTTCCTGTATTCTTTCCCCTATAAGAACATTTAAAATATTTTTTTTTTAATGCTGAATTAATTCGCAAATCTTCTCATGACTGCTTGTGTGCATAAGTTAAAAACTTATGCAAGCATTTCCTCAATCAGCATCTAAATAATGAATTTAGGTATTTTCAAGAGTAAAAGTATTTTGCTAATACCTGGTAAATTGAAAAGCCTACTCCTTTCCAGTGAAAGTAAGTTCCATAGCATTTGAGATATCTATTGAGTGTGGTGATTCTTAAAATGCAGGATTTGCAGGTTCTTGCCTCCCATTTACAGTGCTCACAAGTAGAATACCTCACCAGAAATGGTGGTGGTATTTTTTTAATTTTTAGAGGTTATTCTTTACCTCTGACTCTACTTTTTTCTTGTGAGATATGGCTAAGCAGAGAACATCTAATCAGTTTTGGTCTCACCTCTGTCAATTATCCCTTGATAAAGCTTTTAAATAACAGGTTTTGAAGGAAGTCCTGTGAAGCAATCTACTTCATTTTGGCAGACTGAGCTGTTTCATGTGTCCTTCATGTTCCATTTATTTCCCCTTCCATTGTTTGGTACAACAGGACACAAGGAATGGTGGAGCTGTGGAGGAACCACTCCAGGCAGAAGAGAATAAATCTGCAGATATTTCAAAACAAAAAGAACAATGCCTTGTACCATGTGATGCTCAAGCTAAAATTTTACAAGGGGACAAACATTACATGTGCAGTATGTATTAATAAAGAATACTTTTAGTGATGAGCTAATCAGTGCCATGCTATGCAATCCTCTCCTCTGCTATGCTATGCTGTGCAAATTTATTTTTTAATCTTCTTGAGCACATGTGACAGCCTTGTGACCCTGCTGCCCAAACTGTGTATTGTCCAGAAAATTTGGGATGTCCTGTTTTTGGGATGCAGCTGGTGTGACAAAGCATAATCATTGGTGAAGACAGGCAAATCCAAGGAACTGCACAACCCGCCTGGATCTGTTACCCTCTGAATGTCAGTATCTCAATTAGAGAGGAAGAGGAGGATGTCTGTTCCTCATTCAAAGGTCATAGCTGGATGTGGGGATATAAGTGGGAGGTAGTTAATTAGTTAGTGAGTTACATGGGAGTAAATGTGTACTTCACCTTACCTTTTATAGAGGGTTACGCAGGATGTTCTCTATTCACTACCTTGACAAACTGCACAGCAAATTTTACAATCAGCCTCTGAAAATAATTGTGCAAATGCTTGGTTTCCACATATGATTTAAAAATATACAGTATTAATTATATGCCATGATGATGGTGATGATGATTTTTAGCATCAGGGCAAAAACCAGGATGTACAGTGTATGAGCAAATGTCAGGTGACAAGAAACCTTATATATATATATATCTGTCTTTTTTCATATGCATTTATATTTCTGTGATATCCATTATCTGGTTGTCCAGTTTACCCAAGGATAAGATTAATTTCTTCTTCAAAACATGAGAAGAACCATCACTTAAGATGTCTTTACTGCAGTTAGAAAGTCTGAAGCTTTTTAGCACCTTTGGCTTTAATCTGTGGTCTCTGTATTACTTTCATTTCACTTTTAGGTGCTGTAAGGTAAACCACGTTCAGTATTCACTAAGATGTAATAAATGTTGACATTTAGTCAAGAATATTTCTAGAGTTATGAAAACAAAGTGGATGAACATATTTCTTTTGAAGGAAATTTGCAGAACTCTCTTGCTGAATATGCCAGAAGCACAAAAAAACTTGTAAGAGACATGATGGATGATCAACAGTCTTCACTGGATTACCTTTCTAATCAGGTACTTTTTTTCTTTATTATAAAGATTTGCATTTGTTATTTCTCACAGCAGGTGTTGTCTTTCTGAGGAAAAATAGGGCTCATTAAATTGCCATTAAACCAGTAGCATTAGAGTGTTTTATCACCAGTCCTTGTACCTTTGGTAGGGTGTGAGTTCCATTTCTGTGAGGAGTGGTAAGCACCCTGCTTTACAATTTAGTGTCATACATTGCAGTTGGGTAAGTGGAGGACCATTTCTTCACATTGGTACAAATTACTACACATCACAAAAGTTAACTTCAGATTATGTTTACTGGGATTCAGAAAAAATCTTTAGGATGCAAAATTTCTCATTGCAACCTAATTAAAGATCTTTTATTTGAATTTGCAGGTGAATGAACTCATGAACAAAATTGTTCTTTTGAACACAGTAATTTTGAGAAAACATTTAGATCCACTTCCTTACAAAGCAGTTCAATCTCATGGTAAGTACTTTTCTGATGTAGTGTTGACACCCTCCCTTTTTATCTTTGTATCTTGAAAAGGAGCTAATTAAAGCAAAGGCAAGCAATTGTAACATTGACATTTATCCTGTGTTAGTAACATATAAACTTTGGAAACTTAAGAAACTATTTAAAAGTGTTATCATTAATTCTGCTTAAAATAATTTGCATCTGATAACTCTGGACATCCTGTTAAGCATGCTGATTTTTATGTAAAATACCAAGAATGATTATCAGCTAGTAAGTGATCTGAGGCTGCTGAATGGCACATTCTTTTGCAGTGAAATAAAGTGTGCTCTGCATCTAGAGTATCCTTATTCAAATGGAATGTTTTCCACACATACTTTATGATAGAAAGGCTTTTACAAGTATAAATACAAGTATCTCTAGGAAAAAAATATTTAATTTCCCAGATAATGTCTTTTTCACAGTACAGGTGTTATAAATAAAATGAAAAAATAATCTGTAAATTGACCCAGATACATAATCTTTAATTTTACGTAGGTATGTATCATGTCTATTAAGATTAGAAAGAACTTTGTCTATACAATGTCATTTGTACTTATAAACTGAATGGTGTTTAGAGAATTTTAATTTACAAGATAAATTCATGACAAAGCCTGATTTTAAAGTTTACATGAGAAGAAAATTATATTTTAAATAATTCACTTCACCAAGAAAAGTAATAATCCTATATTAATCTGTATTTTTTTTTAAACATATTTTTCTAATGAACTTCATTGAATAACTTTTGTCTCTAGGTTTGGACTGCACTCATATTAAAGATACTGTTGGTTCCATTTCAAAAACTCCAAGTGGTCTGTACATTATCCATCCAGAAGGATCAAATTATCCTTTTGAGGTAATACATTTATTATTACAGTCACAATTTGCTTGAGAATATGCATTTAGAATATTTCTAGTAGACTTAAAGCATTTTCCACGACAATTTCTCAACAGATGAATGAAAAATATATTAAATCATCTGCACATGTCTGCTATTACTATAATTTTGACAAGTTTCTTATTTTCTACAAGGAAATTTGATCTCTGTCATAACAGCCCACTGTCAGTTTTTATATGCAGTGAAACATAGAGGAAAACAAAGAGGAAAACCCAAGGTATTTTCCAGCACCTCTTTTGGGTATGGAGAAGAGTTGTTCTTCTGTGTTTTAGAGATGGAAAACTGAAGAGCAATTGACTGATCCATTTTGCTTTTAAGATGGGACTTTTAGATTTTGAGTTATTCTGCTGCATAACATTGCCTTCTCTTGTGATGGGACTCCACTGATGCAGAGTCGTCCAAGTGTAGGTGCAGATGTGCCTTGGTCTGAGGAGTAGGTGCTTAGCTTTTGTCTAAGTATCATTATAATCCAAGCTTGAGGCACAGAGGCATCTAAAATTGGGTCTTTTCTCTCCAGTTTGTAGGATTTATATTCCTGAAAGAAGGATATATATCCCTAAAACAAGCTGCAGCAATCATACTTCACTATCACTGCCTGCACTTTATGTAATTGCTCAGATTAATAGTGCTCATCTAGGAGAAAGGAATTTTGGGTTAATTTCTTCAGATTGAGAATATTAAGATCCTTGCAAACACAAGGAATATTTTGTTTTATGTGTTTATTTCCATTTCAGGTTGTTCTAGTTAGAGAAGGCCTTATGCATAGTGGAAAGGCAGATATGGTGCTTTCAAACCTTCAGCTTCGCCATAGAGGTTGAGGTCATTATTTTTTGAAGAAAAAATGAGGAATTTAAGCCAACTAATAACCAGCAAAGTTTAATATCTAACTTTGTAGCATTCCTTTATATGTAACAAAGGAAGGATGAATCCCTTTATCTCTAGCCAACCAGGGCCCTTCAAAATGCTACAAAAAGGAGCTTAAACTGGTTAAGAAAAGGTTTCAGAATTATGCTGGCATCTCAAAAGGAAAAATGAACTTGATTCTGCAACCTTTGATATGAAACCTGTCATTCTCTCCATACAAAGCAGTGAGCTCAGGAAAAGATCTGTAACTCATCGACAACTCCCTTCTATGTAAAAGAAAGGCAAATACATGTTGCAGTGTTCACAGAACAACCATATTTGTAGTATGAACAAAATTCCACCACAGCAAAAAATGCTTCTGTTTCAGAATTTCTTCTGGATTGAAGGTGATTCCAGAAATATAAAAGAAAAATCATAGCAATTTGATTAAAAGAACAAGGTAACAATAAATAATTAAAGTAATGTTTGCAGTCATGAGTGTCTCATTTCTTGTCTGGTAAATGTTGCACAGAACTTAAAAGACAGTGCCAAAAAGCTCTCAGAGAAAAATATCAAAAATATGTGTTCCATAAAGAATGTTATTTTAAGGAAAACTAATGTGAATTCTTTCATGTGCTGAAGCATAAAGAGTACAAGATAAATGACAGATAGACAAAAATATCAAGACATTAAAATATAAACAAGAAATTATAAAGCATCTTTTAGAGGCTAATAGACAAGAGTTCTAAGTGTTCTGCAGACCAGCAAAATAAGAAAAAAATAGAGGCAGAAATCCATAGTACAAAACTAAAAAACAGGAAACAAACACAACATGAAACAATTTATTTTGATGAGGACCTTTGCAGCAATAAGATGCATTTTTATGCAACAGAACCTAAATGAAAAATGTATTTAGAATAATATGCATAAAGATATCAGTTAAATAAAAACTATTTAGACAACTTGATCCCATTCTTATTTTTCAAGTTTGATACCTCAAGTTTCCAAAAGTGAGTATAGATTTTGATGCTTAACTTGGGCTAATTGAACTCCAAATTCCAGGAGCAATAAGAATATCTAGCTTTAGTGGTATTGGCAGGTTTCTGTAACCTCAGGAAGTTACTCTCAAATAGGCTTTTTCCTGAACATTTGTTCATGAAGTGATTAAAACCAATTTCACTGTTGGAAAAATGAACCATGTCCAATTTCTGATACATTTTTCACTCAGTAAATTTTGATCAATGATATTTCTCAGCTGGATCAGACAAACTAAGCTGTTGTTTAGAGCATACCTCTTATACACACTGCAGGTGGGAAGGGAAGAAATATTCAGTAGAAGTGTCCTCCTTCTCATTTAATTTAGTTTGTACCTGGTACAGTCATTCCTTTCATGATATGAGACACAGAGCAAACTGTAAAGCAGATTAACTATTATAATGCTTTACAACTGCAACATTTCCATAAGGGATTAAGAAAACTACACAGCTATGACTGTATTTTTCTGTATCCATCTAATATTTTATTTAGCTGGTGTATGTGCTGGTGCTGTATCTAAGGTTGATCACCTCTCATGTAGATCTATATCTGCTCCTTCTGTGAATTATCAACACTTCCACTGATTTATATTGAACCGAAGATTGATGTTGTGACCAAGTAGGCTCCTCATAGTATTTCTGACTCATAGTCAGAGGAGTAGCCAAGCATGCAATCATTTTCTCAAGACAGTGGATGAGGCAATGGGATTATTTTGAATGAGGTTTAGGTATTTTCATCTAAATATTCATTTTGGAATCTTCTATAGTTCTTTTTATTACAGTTCTGTCCTCCTTGGGTGACTGAAATAAGCATGTGATTGTCCAGGGAATAAAAGCCACAATTTTTTTTCATGCACATGAACCTTACTATGATTCATTTAGTATTTGTTTTGCAAGAATTGCCAGAAGTATCTTTCTTGAAGGTTGTATTAGATCAAATTGCAGCTCTGTCCTGTTCCTTTCTTGTCATTCATTGCGAAGACATTGTTAAATCACAGAGGCTTTGACTATGATGTTCATGTTTTTCTGCTAAGGAGCAAGTCTGGTTTCCTGAAAAATATCTAGCTACTACAGGCAATGGAGGTGCAACATAAAATTCTCAGTCTGCCACAATTTTTTTTGAGGGTTAACTGACTTATACCTAGTTTCCACTTTTATCAGCTGGCTAAGACTGCAAATCTCTCTTTTCTGAAACATTTAATTTTGTACATTTCCTGTAACATAAAAAAAATTTCTTTACTCCATCACTTGTGCATTGGCTTAATGTTATCAGAGCAACATTATGTTCTGAAATTACTTTTGTTACTACAAGAAGCTTACTGGCTCACTACCTTCAAGCATTTTCCAGGTTAATTCTCCTGATATTAGTCACATTTGGAGACAAAAATGAGCTCCTGCTTTTAAATGCTAATTATGGATACTATCCCTTAGAACTTCCTTGGTTATCTTAGGTAGTGCAGTGTATAAATGTGCCATGTGATCTTTCTACATTAGGTTCCCAGACATTATAATCCCGGTTAGAACTGATCAAGATTTGGCACTGCAGATCTACTTAGGAAAATCAATTACACATCTTAAGTTAGATGGGCTGAGGTGAAAACGTGCCACTTAATGTGGTGTTCCAAAACAGAGCAGATGGCAGCTGGACCTCTGCCATTTGACATACTGCTGGGCACAAATTTTAACAAAGACTTATAAAGACTCATAAATTTGAGAGCTGATCTTATGTATTCAGTGGTGCCGCTCAGTTGCAGGCAGTTATATGTTCACATTGGGACTTCCCTGGATTGGGGCCACTTCTTATGTAGAGGTTTTTGCTGCTGCAAATTATTGTTACATGCTGGGTTACTGCTATCACTGTTTTCCATTTCCTCACCCTTTATTAAAGGCTCTAAATTTCCCAGGCACCACAAACACAGTATTTTCTGGAAGAAGGCATGATGGTGATGGAGAACATACAAGAAGTTGTGTCTGTTTTGCTTTGCTGAAATAAAAGTTCATTCAGTGTTGCTACCTGTATCGATGATATTTTGCCTGATTAATACATGACATTGCAAGTTGCTTCCCTTTCAGGCTATAAATGTTACAGTGACATTTATCAAAGCTTATTTATTATATCTGTTATTAGAAGACTATTACACACAGCTGTTTCTACCGGTTGAAGAAATATCCAAATCCAAATGTTCAACAAGAACATATAAGAAAATACTGCAGCTTGTTTTTTACTTTCTTAGAGCTTTTTTTAAAGATATTTGAAAATATGTTACTTAGCAAAACTCTGAATATTCCACCTTTATTTAATTAAAATGTGTTTTTCATAAAAGCTGCTTCAAGAATGCTTAATCATGCCTATGTCTGTTTTAGGTTTTGTGTGACATGGATTTTCGAGGAGGTGGATGGACTGTGGTTCAGAAAAGAACTGATGGAATCGTTAAGTTTCAGAGAACATGGTCTGAATATCTGGATGGATTTGGTGACCTTACTGGTATTAATTTTAAATACTTTAAAATGTTTTGGATCCCACATTTCTTCTGCTTTTATGTGAGCTACAGTCCTCTAAATTGTGCAGTAGTTTTAGTAGTATGAAATCTTGCTTCTTAAAAGTCTTATTTTCACGTAAGGATTTTTTTTCATCAAATCTATTGTGTGATCTTCCCGATAGTGGCTATTACTCCACTATAGTCTTTAGCTATTGCAGTCTCACAAGAGTGTTTAAAATATTATGTTTTCTGCTTGAAATAGTTTATAGCTTGTATTTCCTATCTTTTCAGCTTAAAAAAAAAGTGTTTTTGTTGGTTTGAATCACTTTTGCAAAGTATTTCCTTAGAACAGACAGAACTCAATAATATTTCACCATGGGGCATGCAAAGTTATAAACAATGGAAATATTTCAGTAGCTTATACCAATACAACTGTGATATTAATTTTTCATTGCCACCTTTAATATCCCACAAGTCTAAACCCATTCGCTTTTTCAGAAGTTTATCTGGGATTGCAATGGAAGCATGCAGCTTTTCTGTACAAAGAAGTGCAGCTCATATGGGACTACAAGTGTGATTTACGGAGGCAGCAAATCTCGAGAGCAGGGCTTAAATTTCAAGAATAGGGTTTGCATTTTTTTTGCATTTCATAGGATGCTAACATTTATCATTTCTCAGTATTGCCCTTAGGAGTGCTACTGAGCTCTGTTCATGCAAGTGGATCTTTAGCACATCAAGTTTTTGTGGTTTTCTAAGATATATTGAAGATGAATATTTGAAATCTATCATCTGGACAATTTTCTAAAACATATCACAGAGAAAAAAAAGATAATACACACATGGGAATTCTGAGGGATTTCCTAAGGAAGTAGGAAGATTACTCTGTTCCTTCATTAGTCTTTCAGAGGAATATAAGCCTATCATGCAACTTTTATTACATTTGGTTCAGGTGGGAAAGCAAAAAAGCAGGAACAATCACTTTTTCTTGTACAGTTTCCATTTCTAGACTATATATTATATTTCTCTTTAAGGAGAATTTTGGCTTGGACTGAGGAAGATTTTTGACATAGTGAATCAAAAAGCCACTCATTTCAGTCTTTATGTGGATTTGGAATCAGAAAATGACAAACGTGCTTATGCATCATATGATGGATTTTGGATAGAGGATGAAGCATGTTCTTTTAAGATCCATTTGGGGCATTATTCAGGAAATGCTGGTAAGAACTTCCTTCTTTGAAGTATTTAAAGATTCCCTTTCTTGATACAAAAAAAAATGCATTCAAAAAAATAATAAACTTCAGAAATTTTATTTCTAATGTGTTTTTCTCTGGTATATAATGAACACTTATGCAGATAAAATATTAATTATATGGTGATCACTTATGCCTGTAATAATAAAAAAAAGTAAACTGAATGAGATATATATATAAAATAAATAAGGGATTTTTTGGGTGTTAGTGTTTATTTACCTAATGTACAATTAAGTTTATTTACCTAATGGTACAGTTATTTAGATGACTATTATCTCATCACAGATGTTATTGGCAGTGTTCCTGATGATGCTTTATATAGTTCAGAAGTGCCCAGATAGTCATGTACAAAGGATAGAGAAAGAAACAGTGGAGCAAAGCTGGCCTGCAGTGTGTAACAGTTGCTGGGTATACATAGATACAAATTAATTCCAGACCTCCCTTAACAGCATAAATACACAACGTGTGCAGAGTTTTGCATTAAGCATTGCCTCATGCCTTACTGCTTTTTTCCATGTTACGCAAGAATGGCTCTTATTATCAATGAAATAGTTGCTCTCTAAAGGTGTTTGTGCTTTACTCTGTATTTGTGAAAAATACTGTTACTTCAGTAAGTTCTTTTTGTTTTTGTTTTGTAAGACAACAAAGACAGTAATAACTGACCTTTGTGATTTAACAATTCCATCTTGTTTCATGACTCATTTTGGGGCTTTGGGCATGTTACTGGAAAATCTGAAGTTACAACCCTTTTTGTTTACTTTCTTCTTCCTCTGTTTCTGAGAACAGAAGCCTTTACCTTCATAGCCAGCATGCATTGCTAAAAGCAACAAAAATACGAAGGCGTTTCACTGAATTCCAGCTTCTTCCATATTTCTTAGTATTTTATTCTTTCATTTCCAGCATCTTTAGCACTTTTACAACTTATTAGCTGGTGCTCTTGAACCACTTCTGAAAAATTCTACTTTTCAAATAGATTCAGAGGAAAAGTTTGTGAGGTGTGCATCAAGAAAGGAACATTTCTCCGGAAATAACTTTTTTATTATTTTGTTTTATCTATTGCACTTAGGTGATGCATTTAGAGGATATAGAAGAGAAGATAACCAAAATTCCATGCCTTTCAGCACTTTTGATGTTGATAATGATGGATGCAGGCCAATGTGCACTATTAAAGGACAGCCAGTAAAGAGCTGCAGTAACTTCAGTGACAACACTGGATGGTGGTTCAACAAGTGTGGCCTTGCAAATCTTAATGGTGTTCATCGCTACACAGGTAGATTCCTTGCAACTGGGATTCACTGGGATACATGGACAATGAACAAAAAACCAGTCAAAATTAAATCAGTTTCAATGAAAATTCGGAGAACCAATTTTCCATATTTCCATTAACATATGAAAACAGAAACATATCTCTCCTTGCAATTATGTGGAATGATGTATCACAACACTCATAAATACCTTTCATGTTCACTTGAACAGTTCAGTCCTAAAACTTCATTAGATACTTCTGTAATACAATTACTCATTTTTATTGTGAAACATCAGCATTTATAGTGCTCCAGCTTGAGAAAGACCTGAGAAAAACTGGGTTTTCAGAAAAAGGATTAAGCTGAGTGTTTGTCAGCTTTTATTCAACTGCTTCTAAGAAAATCTCAGAACCAGCAGAAAAATCCATAAAAAGAAATGTAATGCCGATTTTTGAATGTGCTCTTTCTATTCTCTCCACATATATAAACACAGAAGAAGTCTCAGCAAATTTTATTTTAAAAAAAGTACCATTTTTATCATAATATTTTGGAAAAATACTTAATCTTAAATTAAATTTTCAGGATGTTTTTCTTTCTATATTCCTTATCAGGCAAGAGAACAATTGTTTCAATGTATAAATAAAGTTTTGTATACCATCAGGGCCCAACTTTTATACAAGTAAGGCTGATAGTGACATTCAAGAACTATGACTAATTTTATATTTAATTTTCACAGTCAATGTATTTCATAATCCATTTTTGACTCTACCATTGTCTATTTCACAATTGACTACAAATGAAAAAATTTTTTCAAAGAAAACTTACAGCTTTTCATATAACCTTTGCAGTTTTAATTTTTTGATATATAGGCCTGATCTTATGTTTTTCATTCTTAGTGGCTTTCACTTTGTGAACGATCATGTGGTAATGAATAAAACCAACTTAAGTTGTGTGAGCGCATTTAAAACTAAGGATTGTGATTCTTTGAATTTCTGTCAGTAAAAATACAATAATAGCAATAAAAATGTGAATATTGTCAGTACAGTGTTTCTGGAACTTGGCATGAAATCTGTAGCAGCTAGGCATGGTATTTCTCATCTTTGCTTCAGTTTCAGCTCTGTAGTAGCATGTGGGATGAAAATAGTTAAAAACTCCATTAAATTTCTCTTTGCTGTTTTTTTATTTTAACCAAGCATTAATACAGCAAGCAGAAATCATCATCAATTCAGAACCACCACGGTTTAGGATTTCTTCCCAAAGATTTATGCAGCCATAGGAGGAAAAAAAGCTTTTCATAGGGTATGTTACAAAGTTAAAGGGGAGAAAAGATTCCTCTTTTCTTGTATTTTTCTAGTATGTGGTTTGGTCTAGCCTTAACAGTTGAAGGCAAAAAGTTGCTAAACTTGCTAAAGTTGCTAAAAGCAGGTTTCTTCTCTGCTAGAGGGAAACTGAGGGCTATCCTTATGGGTAGGCTTACAGGAGAAGCATGGTAGGAAGTAGCTTGAGGAAAAATATCACAGATACCTTGTAAAATATACAATGCTTTGTAGAGGCATTGTGAGAAAGGAGATAGGTCCTGCTCTTTGGGGAGTCTGAATTCTCTGAGCACAGTGGGGGTTTGTTTTTGTCAGACACTGCAGTCTTTGAAATTAGAGGTGAAGAAATTGTCTGTACACCCTCTTCAACCTGCCCTCACACCAGCCTTATTAGGAATGCAACTGCTTTGAACAGCAGCCTGGACTCAGCAGACTTATAAAGGTAGATGCTTAAGAGCTTCTGCACTAAGATTAGCAAGCACTGGAGCTTAAAAAGGAGATTAACTTTGACTGCAAGTCTGGATGTTGTCACTGTATTAGGGCTCTTATGTCAGAAAGAGTCCTCAGCCTATGGCACAAGAATCCTACTGGAGAATGCCTGAGGGTAAATTTCATGGAAATGTAATGGCTTTAATGAAAGCCTCAAACTTTGATGGTGTGGCCTCTATTCTGACAACCAGGTCCAAGCCTGTGAGCAGGAGTCCAAGTAGGTACTTTGGATGTATATAGCTATATTCTACTGACACCCAGAGGCTGCTTTTGGCCTATTTGGAATGCCTACTTAAAAATGAAGGTGGCAAATGAAGATTGCAGACTTGTGCTGGCAGATATTACTGCATTTAATTATGAGGTTTAATCTCCCCATCATCAGCATTGGCTAGATTAGCTGGCAGCAACAAATCTTAAAGGAGATGAACCTGAAAAGATAATTAGGGATTAAAGATTCATTCTTGCAAATAGACATTGTTTTTAAATGTAGAACATGCCTAGAACATCAGAGTGCTAGAGATTAATTGGCAGCTTCCTGGTGCATATCTGAAATACAGCAGTGACAAGAGAACATTTTCTGTGTGATAGATGGCTATTGTCTTCAAAGGTTCTTTTCCCTTGTAACAAAAAAACTGGGAAAACAAATTTTTAGTTAAACACAGAGAATTTTCAGGGACTTTAAACTTTTTCCAGGGGCCTATGTTTCATATTTTCAGCTGATGGTTCCCAACTGTCATAAAATAGCATAAGATTTATGTGGCCATATATTTAGGACTGGTATTCAGTTGGTTATTTCCCAAACAGTCTTGTTTCAACTATAAGGAAACATGTAGGGTGTCTTAATATGCTTATTAAGAGAATCAATTCAGTGTTTCAACTGTGCTTAGTATCTATTCCAGGAATATTTCAAACTATGAGAAGTTGCCATTAAAAGACACGTAATCTGTGATGCTAAAAAACTGCACTTCTTTTGTTTTCTTTTTCCAATAGTATGTCTTCAACTTGTAAATCTCAGTTTGGTGAACTCAAATTGTTTAGTTATTTGGTCATTCTGGTCACAAGAAACATTTCTGATGACTTTAATTTTGTTTCACATGTCTCCCTCTGAAGTATGCCCTGTATTGTCCCCATTGCCAAACCAGAAGCCAGCAGAGACAATCCCTTGGCATGGGAGAAGTCTTTTGTGGGATTTTCTTGGTATGGCTGTACACAAAATGTAAGTTATTTACAGAAGGGGTACTGGAAATCTGCACATCCATTTTCAAGCTGGGTATTGATCTGCCAGGTGTTCTGATCTATAAAGGCAGGATGCACTTCATTTAGCAGCTTATTGTAAACTGAGTTAAAATTGAGGAAAGAAAGGCATCTATGGCTTTCAGTGGACACAGAATTTGCTGAGATGTTCTATGTTCATTGACCAGAAGTTGTTACTTTGCAACATGCTTAAATGATTATTTCTTATACAGAACAGTGCAAATGACACTGTTCTATTCAGAATTGTACAAAGATGTTGATACAAGTATAGAAGGGACTAGTCCTTTAATTACAGAAAGATTTTTTGCTCTGTCATTTCAATTTTTAGCTTTGCGTGTGTCTGTGTGTGTAGAAATCACACACAAGCAGACAAACCCACGTGTGTATTTCCAGTGCAATTCCCAGTGAGAAAGAAGGCTGAAGATAATACCTGTATCAAAGGGGCTCACAACCATATATTTTCCACGTGTTATCCTCCATTGCCTCAGCTTTTCCCGAGCCTCATCTGATCCAACAGTTTTGTGCTTGTGGCAGGCTATCCTTGTCAGGGGGACAAAATCAAAAACTAGCCTTTAGAAGCAAAAGCTAGGCTCAGCTTTGAGTCCAGTAAAGCTTTGTTACAAAAACCATTCAAAACTGAGAGTGTTTTTCCAGGTCTCCCGTCCGCTGCCTGAATCCCAGCAGGTTCCAAAGCCGGCGGGGCTCGCGCTGCCGCCGAGTGCTGAGGGCAGCCGCTAGGGGGCGCCAAAGCGCCGGGCGCCGCGACCTCGGGCCTTGCCTTTCCCCTTTCCCCTTTCCCCTTTCCCCTTTCCTTTCCCTTTTTTTCCTTTTCCTTTCCTCCTCTCCCCTCTCCTCTCTTTCTTCTCAGTGTATTTTGCCTACAGTCTCATCCAGCAGTGATATCACACCTTACCTCCCTGAGCTGCACCAGCCCTGGATGCCCAGGCTGGCAGGAGGCACAGTCTGTTCTGTGTTCACTTTGCAGCCCAGAACTCCAGTCGCTGGTGTTTGCTTTCTGTGAGAAAGCCCTCAGAGCAATGCCCATCAGGGTTTCCATGTACTCTGGTTTTCATTACTGGTGGTGTATGGTGCTGTGCAATGGTTTAGGGGGGATTTTATATTTAGCTCTAGGGAAGAGGGACTCATGGCAATGAATTTTACACAGACAAGTTTGGTAAAGATAGCGAAAGTGTGCACGCATTCAAAAAGGACTTGAATGCATTAATGGAAGATGAACCTCTAAGGTCATCGAGTCCCACCATTTAACCCAACACTGTCAGGTCCACCACTAAAACATATCCTTAAGCACCACATCTACACATTATTTTTAACTCATCCAGGGATGGTGATTCCACCATCTCTTCCAATGCTTGACCACCCTTTCAGTGAAGAAAATTTTCCTAATATCCAATCTAAACCTCACCTGATGCTAGTATGTTCACAGCTGTTGTCACTAGGTCAAGGAGCGCCCGGTCTGGTCAGAACACTCATCAGATCAGGACTCCTGAGCTCACCGTGTACCCTCACTAAGTGCAGAGGGAGAAGATGTCACCCTTTCTCTCCTTGTGCTTCTTTTCCTAGACCATGTACAAAACCATAGCTTTTCTCAGCTGAAACAGGGTTGAGGAAACTATGAGCTATACAGGAAAATGAAGTCAATCCTTCCAGTCTCAGCTATTTTGTGGTATTTAGCTGCAGACAAAAAAAATGTCAAAATCCAATTAATTTTCTTCAATGAACAGATGTAAAATAGAAATAATTTTTCCTCTTTTTTTAGCAAAACTAAATATATGAGTTATGAAACAGAGCTCAACACAGGCACACAAGTAAGAAACTGAGTGTTTTAAAAATAAGACTTCATATTATATGTCTTCTGCCTATGACAACAGATTCATTTTTGTATTTGCAGCTATTTCTGCCTCATAATATTCAATAAGGTCCTGTATTGTTGCAAGGTTAAATATTTTTCAAACTTTTCTAGCATTCTGATTTAATTCTGATCAAATCACATTGGCAGTCATCTAAAATGTTGAGAAATAAACAGAATTCAGCAGGCCAGAGTACAAAAGTTGAGAAGGTCCTAGCAATATAAAAGAATATTTTGTACAAAGCCTTTTAGCTATTACAATTTTAATAGCTTCTTTCTTATCCAGAAATTGCAATCAGAAGAAAAAGCACACTCAAAAAAGCACACTTCTAGTGAAGTATTAGAAAGAATTCAGCAATGTAACTTTTCAGATTTTGCTTTATATTCTTTTCCTAATACCTTTTTAGGTGCTCCAATATTTTTCTGCACTTTCTTTCTGTCCTTTTAAATCAATAATTACCAGACATAAGCAGAATTAACTCCTACATTCTAATGGAAATGAATGGTTGGTTAGTGCTTATCATTCTAAACCACTGCATTTCAGTTTGTGTGTCCAGGTTTTGGTAGCAGGGTGCCTTCATGGGCACTACAGGGGTGGCTTCTGTAGGAAGCTGCTGGAAGCTTCCCCCATGTCCAGTGGAGGCAATGGCAGCTGGCTCCAAGATGGACCCACTGCTGGCTACAGCCCAGCCCATCAATGATAGCAGTAGCACCTCTGGGATGATGTATTTGAGATGGGGAAAAACCCCTGCTATTCTTGTTGTGCAGGAATTAGATCCCTTGTAGAACTTGCACTTTTTTTTTGCTTGGGATTAACATCAGGCAAATTGTCATTGAATTCTGTCAGACAGCCTGCAGCCTGAGAGAGAAGTGAGAAGGTGTGAGAGGAACAGCCCTGCAGACCCAAGGTCAGTGCAGAAGGAGGGGCAGAAGGTGCTCCAGGCACCAGAGCAGAGATTCTCCTGGTGCTCTCCCTTAGTGGAAACCATGGTGAGCAGCTGTGCCCCTGCAGTGCTTGGAGGTGCATGGGACCAGTAGCCTGGGAGATCCCACACTGGAGTAGGTGGATAACCAAAGGAGGTATTTTTCTGGAAGCTGAAGTCTCAGTTTAGAACCCATAATTAGTAAATCAAAGCAAAAGATTTTTAGCTGAAATATTTATTTCCATTTAGTATTGGACAAAGTGTTCCTTTGACTTGAATTTATAGAGTGTGCTCCAGGTATGTAATAAAGTGAAAT